TTTTATTAAGTTTTTAGTTTTATTTAATTTGAGTTATTTTAATACTTCAACAAACTAAATGGAAATGAAATAATATATATATATATTGAATTTATAAACGTGTATGTATATATATATATGTGTATGTGTACAAACGTACAAACAACATGTAGTTGTTTTTTTGGTGTTTGGCTTAGTGTTATGTACATTTTTTTTTTTTTATGTTTTTCATTTAAATTTATTTTAATTTTATTTAAATTTAGTGTAATGTTAGAATCATTATTATACTCTGATACCTTTTGTTCTTTAATATTTTGAATTGTTTTTAGCTTTATTTTTTGTTTTTCTTTTAAAATTTTAAGTTTTGAAATTTTTGTTGTATGCATTTGTCATTTTTATTTAATCTCTTTATTTTTAAAATGTGTATAGGTAGTATTTATAAAGTTTTAGCTTTTAGATTTGGATCTGTTTTTAGTTGTTTTAATACTACAATTGATTGCTTCTGTTGTCCTCATTTGTAAGTCGCTTTGGATAAAAGCGTCTGCTAAATGACTAAATAAATAAAATAGTTAAACCATGCTAACCACAAATTAACCATGCTTTTGATATGCTAACCATAGTTTAACCATGGCATTTGTGGTAAAACTGTGGTTATACAAATGGTAATCAATATGCAAAAAAAAAAAAAAACACTTTTACTAATAATAAAGCTATGGTAAATTTTCGTAAGGGTTTCAAATGACGATTAACGGCAGTAAATTAATTTGCATCATTTCAGTGAGTCATTTGGTTTATTTGATATTTTCTGAAGGTCCGCTGTAACACTATGTAGAGATGCTATTTGGATGATAGAGTTGTTTTATGGAACAGGTCCCCAGTGTGATATCAAAATCTGGTTCATCATAAGATTATGACTCTTATATTCTATGATGATTAGGATTAGGTGTGACCTTTACATGTAGGAACCAATGAGGGTGCAGACTACCCACTGAATGAACCAGTCAGAATCAAAGGAGTCAAACTGTCACAGGGAATAAGATTTGGAAACAGTATTATTGGAAGGTGTATACATCACAGCTTAACAAACGGATAAAATTCACAGTTCAACCTGAACATACGTTCAACAAGCTCACAGAATGAAGACGCTTACTGTTGTTCCTCCTCAGATCCACTGATATCTAAGTTCAGCCAAACTCTGTATATGAAACAGCTTCATACTGAGAGATTGTGTTGATTTATCGCTGTTTGCTTCAAATGATCAGAATTGAGAGATGCTTGAACATGTAATGAAATTGTACTTGAACATGCAATGAATTTGCTTTTGTCTATAAAAAAATCCTGTTGTTAAATGTCAATGTCTTAAATGTAATATCTTTATTTATGTCTCTTTCCGAGCTTCTAGCTAAAATTGGGCTTTAAAAAATGAAATGGTTTGGGATGTAGTGACAGCGGCTCTCCTGATTGGTCATCCAGATAAGATGTCATCTCTGGATCTACATTTTCCCGTTTTACATAGAGTTCAACAAGGTGGAGCAGAGCAACAAATGAGTCTGTCTAGGTTACGCAGGAGCGGATGTTCTGAAAATGTATTTCAAAAAAGGCCAAAAAACCCGCAGCAGGTTTCAGAGAAAGAAGAATGTTTTAGAACAGCCAAGTAGAAGTCCAGCGCTAATTCCAATGGGAAAAACTGGTGGACTGGACTTGAAGCTGGTCTTCAAGCTGCACACAGAAGATCCGCCTGATCAATCTGAAGCTTTTTTGCAAGGAAGAGTTGGATAAGATCTAAGCTGATTGACTTTTTTTATGATATTGCTGTATTAAAAGCAAAAAGTGCTTCAATCAATTATTATTTTATTTTATTTATTTATTTAGTCATTTAGCAGACACTTTTATCCAAAGCGACTTACAAATGAGGACAACAGAAGCAATCAATTGTAGTATTAAAACTGCTGAAAACTGACTCACCCTCACCCCTGACTCACCTGAGTTTGTTTCCTTATTCAGACAGATTCTGAGAAATTTAGCATTACTTCACTTGCTCACCAATGGATCCTCTGCAGTGAATGGGTGGCGTCAGAATGAGAGTCCACAAAATTTCAAAACTTAACATTTAAATGAAGAACTAAAACTAAAGCTAAAAACAATTCAAAATATTAAAGAACAAAAGGTATAAGTGTATAATAATGATTCTAACATAACACTAACTCCACACAACTTCATCATTAAGATGCTTTTAACTTCAAACTGTTTCAAGTCCATACTCCATAATAACACTTTCTCCATTAAAAAGTCATCTCGTCTGAATCAGGAGAGAAATACGCACAGATGAAACATTATTTACAAGTGAAAACAGTCCAAAACAGTTATGAACACATTTGTCAGTGGATTTTGATGAGAGGACAACATGGGATGGACTTTCTTACCGGAGGAAGTGTTATTACGGATTATATTTGTCCAGATGCAATGGTTTAAAGTTAAAAAGTGTCCTGGATTTTTTTTCTTATAAACACAGAAAAAGATCTGACATGATTTATCTTAGATTCATTTTCAAAAACCTGCCATTTTAACAATTTTTTTTTTTTAACGAAGTATCTCTTTATTTCGTCTGAAATACGTAAAGACAGCAACCAACTGGAAAGTTATTTTTAACATCTATTACAAGAACTCGATTAATCTTCCGGATATGATGCAAACCCACATGGTATACACCCATTCCTAAAGAAAAAAAGTATATTTTGGCAACTTCCTTTTGTTCTATATTAGATTCATTAAAACTAAAATAACATTTTTATTTATTTAGCATATTTGGTCCTGACTTTTTCCAAAATGAGTCATTATTTACTCTTCAGCCAGTAGCAGTAAATAAACAACAAGCGCCAGCAGGGCCAGTATAAGTTGAACTTGAGTCACTTCATCTGATTTACAGTACTTGGTCATTTCTGCAGCTCAGCAGTAGCACTTCCTCTATGAAATGTTATAAAAGTCACCCACAAACCTGAACACAAGCTCAACCTGAACACACGTTCAACAAGCTCCCAGAATGAAGACGCTGCTGCTTTCACTGCTCTGTAAGTTTATTTCTGTGGGATTGAGTGTGATTCTGTCATGATCAGATGATCTCAATGATCTGTTTTCTGTTTCTTCAGGTCTGTTTGTGTGGAGTCAGTCCACAGAAGCTTTAACTGATCAGCAGGTGGTTTTAGGACAGCGTGTGACTTTAGCCTGTGATTTTAATTTAAAAGCTATTATTTGGTTTGTGACAAATCTAACAGCTCGTCCGGAGATGATACTGAGATCATTTGGACCCCCTGAACAGGCAAAATATTACAACAACAAATTCATCAGCAAATACTCAGAGGGAGGCTGGAGCCGCTTATTAATCAATGAAGTTAGTGTTGATGATTTAGGAATTTATTACTGTATAAAACCAGGGTGGGATCTAGAGGTCAGTGATGGTATCAGACTGCAAACCACTGGTAAGTGATAAACTGCAATACATTTACACAACTAAAATCTACATTATTATCATTATTTATGTTGTATATTTATTGTATACAATTATCCAAACTGATTATTTCTGTGTTGACAGTTATGGTCCAGACTGTACACCGCTGGGGTGTGTTTCCCAAAAGCATTGTTAACCATCTATGTTTGTAACATTCAAGGTGTTTCCGGTGTCCATAGTTTCTGTTCGCAAACAGCATTGCAAATTTAATTGTGTGGTTGGATCTACAGCTCTCCACCTGTGGTTAGAAGTTTACTAACTTTCCAAACAATACATTAAAACTTTGCTTTTCTAAAAGAAATGTCTCAGTCTCGGCGACCGTACCAGACTGCAGAACACTGGAAAATCACTGGCAATAAATGTATTCTTCTGAGATACTACTACTACTACTACTACTACTCAGAATAATAAATATTTGTTTCTGTTATTATTATTATTATTATTAATGCTTTAAGAGCTCTCAACGTGGGGTTAGGAGCATAGTTTCTTGTTAGTATGACGCGAATAAAATCAAGCACTTGAGCAAATTAAGCAAACTAACATGTGGTCAAATCTATATATTTCATTCCATTCATTCTACGTCTTTTAGTTTGTTAAGAGAACTCAAGCGGCATTTCTGAAGAGTGCGCATGCACGTACTTGCTCAGTGGGGAACACTGCTAAAATAACGGAGAACGAAAATAGCTAAGTAGTCATCAGATTCCATGTTCGTTATTTACAGCAAAAACCTGAGATTAATTTGACCTCGATATGGATAATTAGCAGAAGTTATCACTCCACCGCCTGCTTGACGTCATTAACGTCAGTTTTTACCGAAGGACAGATGTGCGACAGAATTCCATGTTTTCGTGAAACAGTCATGAGCCTGTTTCTCTAACACATTGTACTATAAGTTACTGTGTTGTTATATATAACAACCGGTCCTGGAGGGCCGGTGTCCTGCAGAGTTTAGCTCCAACTTGTCTCAACACACCTGACTGGAAGTTTCTATGCATAGTAAGAGCTTGATTAGCTGGTTCAGGTGTGTTTAATTAGGGTTGGAGCTAAACTCTGCAGGACACCGGCCCTCCAGGACCGAGTTTGGACAGCCCTGCTTTAGATTCAGTGGAGCATGCAGAGTCGAACCATACTCAATTTGACCATGTCAGCCATTTTGGGCGTCGGCCATTTTTAATTTTGTCATAAAAAGCTATATTTTACCAACGCATTGGCGTTATGAAACTCGGTGTGCGTATTCAGCACCATGCTCGTATGGTACTCAAAAGGTTTGGGGGCAGCACCACCTTGTGGTCAAACTGTGTCTGAGGCTGTATCTCTGCAAAGCTTTGACATATTGACACCAAACTTTGTTTGTGCTGTTGTCACCTCACACTGACCACGCCACATCAATTTGGTAACAGCGTCACCTGTTGGTCAAAAGTGATAAACCATTCATTAACCAATAATACTGAAATTTCTAAAAATGCTAATAACATTTCAATACATTGGCCTGTTGTAATGAAACTGTTCTCAAAATATTCCTTGGGTCATGCCAAGAACAGAGATTCGAATTATGCCATAGTCGATCGAACCAAAGACTATAGAATACCCTAGACGTGTCACTCGTATAGTTTCGAATGGGGAAAAATGCAAAGCTCAATATGGCCGCTCTATCGAACGAAGTCCTGCCTTCTGAGCAAAAGAGCCAATCGCTAATCAGTAAAGTCATCGTGTCACTGCAGCTGCCGTTAGAAGTCCCATTCTGAGACGTGCGCCTAGGACTGCGCATGCGCACTGGCTGATCTAGCCTGAAAAATATGCTTTTTTTAATGCTATTGGAGCATAATGAACAATATTTATGATTGCTGGCAGTTGTTGTCAGCTTGGTGAACAGTTTTGGAGAATTTGATGTTTCCCCATTCAAAGAGATAGGAGCTGCACTTGCATGCCCGAGAGGCGTTTCAAAGATGGCCGCCGAGTGACATGACTTGCCTTAAAGGGACTTTGACTGAACTTCCTGTCCGCCATTTAGATTTTTCTTAAAAACCTACTTTTATGAACTCCTCCTAGATCATTTGTCAGATTTTCACCAAATTCGAGTCAAATTTGAGTGTGCTGACAAAAAGTTATTTTGTGTCGATAGATGAAACAACAAAGTTGAGGCATGATGCCAAAATGACTCTGAAGCTGTATCTCTGCAAAGCTTTGACATATTGACACCAAACTTTGTGTGTGCCATTGTCACCTCACACAGAAAATACCACATCGATTTGACCACCTGTCGGTCAAAAGTGATAAGCCATTAAATCACATTACTGGAGGTTGTATTTATGATTTTTCAGCCATTTTGACTAAAATCAATCTAAAATGGCTTTAATTACTCATTGTTGCAGTTGGTCTGACACTCCATACCATGCTTGGCTCCTCATTTTGCTTCTGTTGTGCTTGGCCCCTTAATTGCTGCTTGCAGCTATATTTGTCTATTATTTTTTGTTATTTATGAAATTATATTTATGCAGATTTGTTTCCGATCTAAATTTAAAGAATGAATTCCCTTTATTTAAAAAGTTTTCTAACTATCCAAACAATAAATTAATACTTTGCTTTTCTAAAAGAAATGTCTCAAGATGACAGCGGTCGTACCAGACTGCACACCACTGGTAGGTCACTGGCAATAAATGTATTCAAAATAAATATCTAAATGGCAAGAATGCATTGCATTTATTTAATTTTTCTAACAATTATACAAACATTATAGAAGTTACTTTACCTGGCTGTTTTTCTAATAATTATACAAGCATTTTAGAAGTTACTTTACGTGGCTGTATAGAAGATAAAACTTGGTATTTTTCTCAAAAACACAGAATCTCCCCGAAGTCACAATGAACCAGAGCGAAAAAACCCACCACAAGATCAGACAACACTTCAGATTCCTATCATTATGTTAAGTCTGTTGACTGTTGTGCTGTTTGCTGCAGTAATAGGTGAGTAAAAAAGTCAAGACCATAATATATTTAAACCATGTAATGAAAATTATCACTAAGCTTTAGAATTTTTTGACATTTATTATAGATTATAGATATTATAGATTATATTAAATAATTAAAACATATGCATAATAATTATATTATAAATTATATATAAAATAATAATTAATTATACATAAATATAATATTTAAGTACAGTTTTGTTTGTATTACATTTATTGATTAATTTAGCAGCATTTAATCAAATATTATTGTGCTATTCTAGGTTTATTAATGATGAACCATAAACTGTCTAAGAAAATTCCTAAATATGTCAATGCTCATCAGGTAAGATGTTTCTTATTGCTGTTTATGTTAAAAATTCAGTTATTATGACTGCTTTTACAAACGTTTTATATTCCAGAAAACAAAGCAAAAATTTTTTAATTAAAAACGAATGTGTAAACATGAAGAGCTGTCTTGATAAATGGAAATAAACATCTAATGTATGATATTTTTTGTCATTCCGGAGCAGTGGGAAGCCATATGGCTGTGGCACCCAGGAAGCAATTGAGGGTTCGGTGCCTTGCTCAAGGGTCTCACCTCAGTTGTGGTATTGAAGGTGAAAGAGAGCGCTGTACATTCACTCCCCCACCAACTACAAGTCCGACTCTCTAACCATTAGGCCACGACTGCCCCACAAACAGAAATAATCTGAATGATCTGTGTGTTTCTGTACAGATCTGCTGCTGGCGTGTCAAACTACAGAGAGTTTAACTGATAAATGGGTGAATTTAGGGCAAAGTGTGACTTTAGACATTTACTGGCTTTTCCTGAAGCCACCAGATTCTGTGTGGTGATTCTGCGAACTATCTCATCAGATTCTATATCTACTTTTGTACAAGATGAAGGATTCACAGACAAATATTTAACAATAACTTTGAACCGTTTATTTATTGGTAACATATCTATTGATGAATTAGGAATATATTATTGTTCAAAAGCAAGCATCTCTCTACAGCTCAGCAGTGGCACCAGACTTTACAGCACTGGTAAGTGTGTATAAAATCATCATGATAATTCTGTTATCTGAGAATGATCTAAAAACAGTTACAATGCACAAACTGTGTTAAACTGGTATTTTAACTTTAATTTCTGTCAGAGATCTACAAAATGCTGATGCATATTTGGTATTTCTGAACAAAACTCTTAACAGAAGCTGCTCAAAATCAGAATGAGACAGAACTGAATCAGTCACAACATCAGACGACACAGCAGGCTCTGATTGTTTTATATGCCATACTGAACATTGTGATGTTTTCTGCAGTGAGAGCTGAGAAGAATTCAGGATTCTGTGTGTATTATACAAAACAGTCATAATAATTAATTTTGAGAAAAAGAACAAAAGTGTTGTTGGTCGGGTAATGTAATACAATGTTACATAAACATGTATATAATACAAAATTCTCAATATTTTTTTTTTCAGTATGGTTTATCTTTGTTTTTGTTATGATAAAGTCTTATAAATGAGCCCATACAACTTGCTTGACTCGTGTATCATGTAAATAAATATCAGTGGTGTATAAAGTACCTGAAAGCCATACTCTAGTAAAAGTACAGATACCTTACCAGAAAATGACTTTGGTAGAAGTTGAAGTCACCATTTAGAATATTACTTGAGTAAAAGTCTTAAAGTATGTGATATTTATTGTACTTAAAGTTCCCATATTGTCAAAACTGAAATTTCCTGGCTTTTTTTCATGATAACTGAGGTCTAGGTGCTATGTAACCACCATATGAGTTTCAAAACAGTCAGTCCACAGTAAAATTCACACAGCCTGCATAAAGTAGCTGTGATTTTTCACAAACCGTTGTGACTTCCGAAAAAAGTTGACGTCAGAACTACACAGTCACCGCCTTCAGTCACCACCCCGAGCACCGCCCACAGTC